TTTTGCACTTCTGCAACAGGGCCTGTATGGGGAGGGCTTGTAGAGGTGCTATAGACCCAGATTGCAGATTGCTTTATAAGGAAGTCATCTCATTTTAAGGCCTAACTAGAAAAATAAGTATCAGTGCAGTTGCTTGTCACTGCTAGTAAAAAAATAAGTTATTGCCCAAGAGACGGTGAAGTTGAAATCACATATTGAACTTGGACCTTAGTTCAAATGCTTACTAACTACAGAGCTTTGCATTGTTAAAAGCTAAAACAGTAATGATATGGGAGCAAGATAAAACATCCAGAACAACAACAAGGAGTGATGCACAAATCTTATGCAGAGTACTACAGGTGCTCAGAGGAACCTTGAATCCTAATTCAAGATGCAAAAAATGTAAGAAAAATATGTTTATGACTTGGAAAGAGAGATTTGTTGTCCCTGCATTTTAGTGTGCTTCCCCTCAGCTTGTCAGTTTATTAGAATCTCTTTCCCTGTCCAGTTATGGGCTATGCAAGTGTAAAAGTTTACATACTTGTTGTGAAGTGCCTTGTCCCCAAGCAATACCATCAGGTACTTTAAACCAAAGTAGTCAGCAACTTATTCTGTGCGTAACATGAAAGGATATGGGGAGAAGTGTCATTATGATGCTTCAGATTCATTCCCCTGTTCCAGATGCAGTAGCCTTTATAGATGTCACATGTTTGATCAGATATTAAACTTCCATATCGGGAGAGTGTACTTGCAAATTCTGTAACAGATCTTATGATGCATACTTGGAATCTGTCACTGGTCCTGAAATTAAGTTTTATATTTTGCAGCCTGCTATGCCAGGATTAGTTTTGCATCAGCCTTTTGGGTCACCAGACACTCCCTACCCCCAGCTATAACTTCTTGTGCTTGTTTTACTAATTATTGCCTCACCTCTGTCTTCACTGTGACAGCTCAGGCTTTTGCATTTTTTGTCTAGCAGTAAAACAAAGTCAAACAGGGTGGAATGAAGTTTTAAAACATACTGATTTTGTTTTAGTATGTAGAGAGATCTTGTAGCACCTTCGAGACTAACTGACAGAAAGAAATTGGCAGCATGAGCCAAGGACCGAAGGGACCTTAGAGCAGTAGTACTTGCCCTGGTAATCTCTCGCTTGGACTTCTGTAATGCACTCTACATGGGGCTACCTTTGTACCAAGTTCGGAAGCTTCAATTAGTTCAAAATGTGGCAGCCAGGTTGGTCGCCGGAACTTCTAGGGCGGACCATATTACACCTATATTAAAAGTTCTTCACTGGCTGCCAATTAGCTTCCGGACGCAATACAAATGTTGGTCGCTACCTTTAAAGCCCTACATGGCTTGGGTCCGAGTTACTTGAAGGAACGCATCTCCCCACATAATCCGCCCTGCACCCTCAGAACTTCAGGGAAGAATCTATTGGAATATTATAA